TGTTCCGAAATATCACTTACTCGAACCGTCCTGACCGCGTAGCTCAGTTGGAAGAGCATTGGGCTAGTATTCCAAAGGTCATAGGTTCGAATCCCACCGTGGCCGGGCATATTTTTCAAGCTCGCCCGGTGTGGATATGCACTTAGAGTAACATCGCAAACATATTATTCACCTGAGTCCACAACACCAACACAGAAAATTAATATCTCTTAGTCTTAACGATATAGTTTTAGGTAACTCAAGCGACATTGTATTTTATCAAATTACTCAATTTTCTTGAATCTCGATAAATACAAATTAGCCATATCTTTCGCCGAATATAAATTCGATCCCTTAGATCGAATGTATATCTTCTTTGTAATAGTCTTGTTGGAATCGCTATCCAAAACACTACTTATTAATATTAATCTTCAGATTTTCATCTTTAAGCGTCCTTCCAATACTTTTCTCACATACTTTTCTCTTACTTATCCTATTCAGAATCCATGAATCCATCATCAGAGCCAAGATACAGATGTCACTTAACGAAGGATGATGCAATTGTCATAGAGAGCGCCGAGCCTCGTTGCCCCATTCAACCGAAGTATCACGTGCTCGAGGCACTTGATGAAGCCATCGAACCGGATTACGAGGAAGTGGACGATGGCGACAACGCTGTCATGTCATCTCGATTGTTAGATGCTAAACCACCCTTCCCTGAACGAGAATACCACGAGTTGGAGCCACCGTCAGAAAGAGTGCACTCAGAATGTTAGCGCGGGGACAAACTACAGAACTCAGGGCAGGGCCTGTTCGTATACCCTCGGTTGACTGGAAAACTTACCCTCACATATAAAAAGTCATTTGGAAAATTTTAGGATAAATTCGAACAAAGCTAAGGCTCGGGTCAAACGTTGCGCCAAATATTTCGGTACGACACTATAATTTAGGCGACGTTGGAATGGTGCCAAATCAAACTTGGAACATAATGTGTCTCTCCCAATGTAAATCATGGATTAACATAAATATATAAAGTACGTACATGAAAATAAATGACATATAACATGGGTTAAAATAATTGATGCATTAGGTTCGGCTCATGACAAAGAGCAACGTTTGAATTCCTGTCGCTCCATGAGAAAGGCGACGTTTGGCGGGCCTAACCAAGCTGATTCGAATTATAGCCTGGTTTTGTCTTTCTGATGGATAGGAATGAGTCAACTCGTGCAAAAAAGTACAAAATCGCTTAACGGAAGTAAACATTTCTTCAAGTCTTTTGCACATCACTCATTCAATCACATTTGCCAGGAGGAGATAAGTCGATAGTGTGAACTAGGCTTATATACATGTGGGTGAAATGAGTGGCAATTATATATCCTTCGTGCAAGTTTAACTTTGAAGGCGCTTAATTATCTAATTATATAAACTGCGTTTAATTAGATTAAAGTAGTCATCCACATTGAAATGTAGTACATTTAATAGTACATTTAATGTTCTATTCATGTTTTATTCAAATCAAGTTTTTATCCTATTTATATATTGTTCATCTACAAAAATGCGTTTAGCAGAAAATACTGTATTCAGTTAGTGTTATAAAGCGGTATTCACTACAAAACGTAAAGTAATTTACTTGAATTCAAAATTCAGATCATGGCAAAGCGTCTTCTCTGGCAACACATCCTATGTACATCTTATAAATTTTGCTCTTCAGACTTCCGTGTTTGCCATTGAATCGGAATGCTGCGGCAAGGTACGTAACTCCTCGGTAGGTATACGGCTGCAAATCGTAAGCGCCCATTGTCGAGATCCCTTGGAATTTGACAAAACGGTCATTTTTGTATTTATACACCATGGAATGAGTTTGAAAGTTTGTGATTTCGTCAAAATAGTTTGCGATAGTCAGATACAGCGTGCCGTCGGCAACGAAATGGTTTACCTTAAAAAAATGAAAAGCAATGAATGAATGATAGATTCTCGTTAGTCGCCACGAGACCGTGTTAATTTACACTATATAACGATGCAGCAAATTTAGCATAGCGTTTCGATTTGTATCCGCGGAATGCCAAAGCGTATTGTTCCGTAGTTGGTAGCTACACTATGGCAAACCATTCTGTTATAGTTGTTGAACTTTGTTTAGATATGGAGGCCTGAAGAAGTGGGGAGGGAGGGGGCACATGCAATGGGCAATGTGGATTGCTCCCCCGGTTCCGCGACCACTGTACCAAATCTGGTATCCTTATGAGCACGCTAGAGAATTTTACTGGACTTTGAAACATAAACGAGCTTGCAATTGCTCATGAGGATACCAATCACGACTACAAGCTGTCAGTCTGATAATCATGCTCATGAGCATATTGCTGGATTTTGGAACATACAAGCTTGCTCAAGAACGTGCTCACTGACTGATACCAAATCAGAAGCCGCGGAAGCATTTCGAAAAGGGGCACTTTTGTATATATTCAAAATCAAACGATTTTATGTCGGTTCACGGGCCGAACGAAAATTTTTGAAAATATGGAGTTTCTGTAACGTATGTTTTTTCTGTCTTATATTTCTTAAAATTGTCCATTGGTAAAGAAGTTTAATTACCTTTATTGCTGCAGTAGTTTCCAATTCTTGAAACGAAACGAACGACGTTCCATTCCATCGATACACGTTTGTATGAGAATGCCAGGTGCTCGCTGTGCGATGGCTGGCAAGAGCCAAAAACAACCCTTCGTCACTTTCGAACAAATCCACGCTCATAGCCGCCGATGCTTCGACATTCTGAGCGAAAACGAAACGTTGCCCGTCCCATTTATAAACCACCGATTTCACGTTGAATCCCTCGTTGAGCTTGTAATAATTCGCGAAAACCAAGAAGATTTGCCCTTCTTTGCTGCGGTGGAATTTACAGTCGACTGCTCCGTGCGTCGGCAACTTCTGAAAGACTTCAAGTCTTCCCTTGTTCCATTTGTAAACTATCGAAAATATCGAAACCCTTGTGTTGTTGCGATAGTTTGCAAACGCCAGGAAACTTTCACCGTTGATGTTGAAAAACTGCGCAGCCGACGCTCCGTGCGTTTTGATTTTGGTGTAGTTCACAAACTCGGTCCCATTCCACTTGTAGATGACCGAGTCTAATGTATGCGTACTACCGTCGAAGTGGTTCGTGACGACTAGGTACGAATCCCCACTGTCGGAGAAATACGTCATCGAACGACAGCCAATCGTAGGCAGCGTTTGTAGGATTTCGAACATTTCTGTATTCGGGTTCATTTTGTAAATAAACGAGTCAGTGCTGTAACCGTCCCCAGGCAGATGGAAATTTGCCACAGCGAGGAATGTGCTGTTTTCTATGTTAAATACTTCCATGTTCACGGCCCCCCGGGTTTCGACTTTGTCGTGGATATGGAATGCCAGCCGTTTCTTGCAGCTTTGACTGGCGGTAGATTCCGGCAATGTGGAAAATACGGGGGTGGTGAATGTTGTTGGTTCTCGGGTGGATGGAACGATGTCAGCCTGTGTTAAGGCTTCCCCTGGTGTAGGGATAATGTCGTACGTGGTTTGCCGGATAAGAGAGTCTGGAAAAATAACATAAAATAACAATTCTCAACATATATTGACTATAATAGATTTGTTTTGTACTCTAGTCGTCAGAGGGTGGGTACTCATTCACTGCATTTGACAGTTGCTTTCTTAATTAATGTACAGTAATTGCAATTGATAGCTTAATCACTTTTTCATCCCGCCTATGAAAGATGGGAAGGGAAACACGCCTAGGAAAGATGGCGTTATTATATAAACAAAACCATTGCTGGGATGAAACCTTGCTTATCTTCGCCGAAAAAAGATTTAGCCGTGCTCGGAAGGCAAATTTCATGAGATATTTGTCGTTCCAGCCCAAGGTGGTTCCAGCCTGGCGAATTCTCAACAACAGATGCCGGGACCCCACTCAAACGGGTCGGGGTGGGAGAGGGATCATATAAACACTCCACTGAGTTCAGATTTTACGACCAGGATCCCGATACTGAGCCGTCCCTGTACTCTTTATCGGTATCATATAAGCTGGGTTTAAGGATCATCATCCATTATTCATTTGCCCATGCAGTGTTAGTACAGGAAGAAAATGTAAACTACACTGTTAATAATGTATACCTATTTCAGTTTTTAGAGCAAGTTTTCTATAATCGTAAATTTCAGTATTTAAAAAGAAATCTGTTATTTGGCATGTATTTGACAGTACTCTCCGTATAATGGACAGTTTTTAAAAAGAAATCCGTAATTTGAAATGTGGAGGGAGGGGGGTTAATTTAAACAGTGTAAACTAACACAATTTGCCGATTGGGTAGCTGTGACTGTTCCATAACCGTCGAATATATATCACTGGGGCCCGGAGGTGACCAGAGCCTTGATTTGACGACTGTATACTGCATATTGACTATATTAGAGAGTTTAAGCTTCGCGTTATACGTAAAACGGCAAACTGCAGGCAAAGAAAAATTTTACGGTATCAGGCAATAAAGAGTAAATTAACTTGCTGTTTTAAAACTGAAATACATAATTATTCTTTCGACACAAGAAACAAAATATGAAACGAAAACGTTCAACGAAAATTTTGCCAAGAAAAGTCGAACCTGCCATTTGCCGTTCCCGGAAACGTGAAGCTTAATTAAACTCCCTACTGTATGAATCAAACCCGGAAACTCCGGCCACATGCAGAGTAACGGTATCTTTTGTCTTAATTTTACGATTAATATTTCGCTTTGCGATTGCATGTACCTGAATCTAAAATTTTCTTCGCTGCCAAAATTCGCAACAATTGTTGCGCTTGTTGTTTACTCGTTCCCAGTTCTTTTTTCATCTCTTCTGTCTCTTTCACCATGAACTGACATTTTGAATCGAGCTCGCGAAGACGTTTTTCCATATCAAATACCTGAACAGAAAATTATTTCAATCAAGAACATGTGACAACCCTGGCATATATTGATTTCTGAGATCAAAGCCGGCAAGTGTCTGGTGCAACAGCGCAATGGTTAAACAGTGTTCCAAAACTTACCCTATTCAATGACCAGTTAATGGTGCAATCTCTTCCGTCTCTTCCGGGGCTGCCCGGACGACCGGCAGCTCCAGGGGGACCTGGGACTCCTATATGAATTATGAAATAGAAGAGTGCTTTAGCTTCGTTGCTATAAATACTTGAGATAGCTCAAATTATTGAGTATACTTAATACTTTTTTCTGTGTTGGTGTTGTGTACTCAGGCGAATATGATGTTTGTTATGTTACTCTGAGTGTATATCCATACCGGGCGAGCTTCCCACCGTGTCCGAGCATATTTTTCAAGCTCGCCCGGTGTGGATATACACTCAGAGTAACATAAACAACTTAATACTTTTGTTTTGGCAAACGTTCTAGTTAATGAAAGCATAAAGGCTATTCCTATACAATACATAAAGCATTCTTTACTGCAACTTTAATTTCGAATACAGAGCCATGTTACCTAAAGAGGAGTCACATCGAAATTGGGAGGATGGCTCACATACTACTCTGCTGATTCTTTATTCACATAACATACTCTTAGGGATAAAACATTGGGAACTGAAATATGATGAAAAGTGCCGGTAGAATAAACCGTGGGCCATGCTCAACATTTTCCCGCTACTGTATTTTACTATGCTCTACGTCAGAATATAGACTATACTGTTTATTTGAAGGGTTTTGGATGGATATTATCAAGTGGAAATTTATACACATTGCTTTACTGATTAGAGAAAATGAAATTTCGAAACAGCGAAACATGAAAATAGGTGGACTTCAATGATGGATTCTTGCACTTCACTTGGTGAAATTAATGTTAGAATGTTAGGGTTTGTAATCCAAGTGAGAATAATATACATTTTAAGACCTAACCAGGAACGACTGCGAAAAATGCAGCACAAGGTCCTCTGGTAGGAATTGAACCTACGGCCCTGCGATTCCGGTGCAGCACTCTAACCAACTGAGCTACAGAGGCCAGCTGTTGAGCTGTAACCGTAAGTTCATGTATATATAGAAATATGATCTCCAAAAGAAATTATGTGCACTCAAAGAGTGGAGGTCCTGATCTTCCCGTGAGTGTTAATATGCTGGCCATGCTGTTTTTTAATAGCTGGAGGGTGATTTGTCACATAGTTAGGTACGTCACACTAACCCTCCGTCCCGCTACAGCTATATTCAAAAACAGCATTGACACTCAGATTGAACCTCCACTCTTTGAGTGCCAGTAAGCGTGAGTGAGCTTTTAGAATACAGGCGTACACGTTTTATCGTTTAATTTAAGACATAAACGGTTTCATGTGTGGTATACTGTCTGGCATATGCATTTTAATGCAATAATTACCCACCGTCGCGGCCGTCTCTGACAATACAAGTTCCTGGCGAATTTTCTTCCTGAAGAAATATAGTTTGTTAAAAGCAGCAGGGACACAGTTTGGATCAATTCAATGTAAAATAAGCGAGACTTAAGGTAAACGGCAAGTTCAACGATAATTAAGATGAGCTTATTTTCACAGCAGTCAAGTCTAGTAATCTCTCAACGTCCTTAGTCAGGTGAGCAAGAATAGCTATGATCGATTGAATACCATATTGAAAGTACTTCCGGAATAAAAACATAACTCTATTAAAACTTCTTGACCGAGGTTAGAACGCGCTTTAATCCTACAATATACATTTTCGTCAATAGAATCACACTATTCGCTGGCAAAAAGGAAATAGGGCAGGTCATTGACTCATTGTTCATAGCAGGAGGTGGCAACGAATAGAAATGTTTTCCTTGGTAAACATTTTGCTGATCCAGCCATTAAAAATTCAAAAATTTTCCACCTCAAATATCAATTAAAAACTAAATACCCATCCCTGGCCAAAATTTTACAAAAGGATACCATTTCGTTGTCACACATGTCTTTTACCACTTCTATGACACAAGTTTCATAACTGCTTGTGCAATTTTCTGTAGTCTAAAGTTTCGTTGCGTTTCTGCACATGTACCTTCTTTGGAGACACAACTTGCCTCCTGACTAATCGGAAAATGATCAAGATAGTGACTCTGATTAATTGATTTAAATATTAATGTGTTTGACATATAACTGTTGGCATTGCTTTTTAGTACCGATAGGCAATACTTGAGTCTGCATATTGCATTGCATGCTTTCTTTTATTACCCAACTCTTACATTGTTTCGTTTTTCATTTACCCAACCTTTTACTCATTCAAAATTTTGTTTACCCAACCCTTTTCTCTTCGGTCAGTTCGGTGCCACTCCCCACCCTCCCCCCGCCATAAGTAATGGCCGGTCCCTTTAAGTGTCTTTACTGAACTTCACAGGTGGATAATTATCCAGAAACGGTAGAGTTATCTAGTATAAATAAAGATTGTTTAGTTTAGATTGGATTACAAAGGCGAAGAAGTGGCGGGAGAACTGCATGTTTAGAACTGATAAAGCTAGTTTGGGTTTAGTTTTTGATGTGGTATAGCAGCACTGGCTCGGGTGACCAGCTGAATGGTATAACTGATAATGCTTATTAGTAAAGATCCACTTATACAGCTAATTCAAAAAAGGTTGTCCTTTGCAAACCTTCAAACTCTAAACCTTAAACCATAGATATTTTATATACACTAGATAGTGCATCTAATTATTCTGCAATACAAAAATTGAAGCCGTGATTGCAGTCTCAGGTCGTTCCCATGAAATGAGGAGATTCGTATGTTTTCTACTTCTTAAACAGGGAACTTAAACATTAAGTTAAGCCATTTCCAAATACGTTTTTAAGCTATTCAAATGATGAACGTTATTGTTGTTTTTAAGCGTTTATTAGCAAGTGGGAACGACCAACATGGCCGTCATCTATTCAAATGGGGGTAACCGCTGGAATATTCTTGGCTTCAATTTTACTAAAAGAGATGCGCTATCTAGTGTATATAAGATATCTATGCCTTAAACCTTAAACTTTAAGCGCGCGAAGCTTAATGGGAGCACAAGTTTCAAGCTTAATGCATGGATAATAAAATAAATGGATTGGAAACTTCTGACGTCATTGACTGCATCCTTGTTGAAAAACGTGACGTCACGCGTATTGCGAATGTTACCAAAGTTCTCAGCATTTTTGTTGTTTTGCTATATTTTCCACTTTAAAAGGGTGATCTTGAAGCGTAAACTGGACTAATTGTTTTAAAAACATGCCTAAGCCACGACAAAGTATTCAAGGTAAATGTTTTTCGTCTTTGTTTTGTGTTTTTTTACATTTGTAGCTACGAAATTGGCGTCACAAATTTTAACGAAATTTGCGATGTATTTTTCACTGTTTAGTGCTTGAAATATTTGCTAAAATTGACTGGGAATACTTAGAGTTTTCATCGTAGAATGGCGTGGTTACATTTATTTGCTCTTTGACTAAAATATTTAGCTGTATTATTGCTAAACATGCCATTTTTGAGAATTTGATTTTCAACTAGGTTGAGGCACCCAGCCACGCCATCAATCCCAGTAAAAACATTAGGTCACGTCAGCTAGTTTCCTATCCATTTATTTTATTATCCATGCTTAATGTAAGGAGATATTTACCATGCCATTTACTACTTACCCATACATGATTTCTAAACTGATTAAATGATGCTCCTATTATGCTTTTCACGTTTAGAGTTTGAGGTTTAGGGTTTGGAATTAAAGTCTTAAAGTTTTGCAAAGGACGACTTTTTTCAATTATGATGTTTTCTGTGTTGGTGTAATGTACTCATGCGAATAAGATGCCTGTGATGTTACGAAGGCCGGAGATACGGGGGATGTGGGGCGGGGTGACACCCCCAGAAATGTTATTCAGTCGGCAGGACTGCTATAAGTCGGTAGGACTGCTATTCAGTCGGTAGGACTGCTATTTGGGCTAAATATTTCCGCGCAAAGAGCAAGATATTTAGGCTTTTTGGGTAAATTTCCGAATTTTTGTATGAAAAATTGAGGTAAAGTTACCGGAAAGCATTTGCAACGTACTCGTCCGGAAAATTTTTTTTCCTAAAAAGTTGTCGACGGGGGGGAGGTTTGTTGGTCTCCGAAAAAAATTTTTTCGTCAGTCGGTTGAAATGACCTTACACCCCACTGAAGAATTCCCTGAGGACGGCCCTGGATGTTACTCTGAGTGTATATCCACACTTTATATCCACACTGAGTGTGGATATACACTCAGAGTAACATCACAAGCAGTTTTTGAATTAGCTGCATGTATATCAAATTTGCTCAGTTAATTGGCAGAACTAAATATCAGATATAATTTGCCTTAAGTATAGCATCAACTACTACACGTCGCGGCTGATAAGATAACATTGTTACATTTAAGTAGTCTTGAACTGCATGTTGGTGCCAAGATAACTGCGATTGAAAGAGATACAACCACCTAAAAAATATCTCTCAATCTGTCGTCTTACAAGTGCTATCAATATGCATGGCACAGATAAAGCAAGTAAATTAAGTAGTATACGATTAATTTGAGATGTCACTTAATTACGTAATACATTATTGTAATTTAAAATATACTATTATGGACATTGAACCGAATTTACTGATCATAATTGGCAGAATTAATTACTGTCAATTAACATGGAAAATTAGATAACATTAGGGTTGGTATGCCATTGTTAAAGCTTCTCCATTCCCTTGCTAACGATTAATTGATACAATACAATGTAAATTTTTTTGTGATTAGAGCACCACTAGACCTTTAGAATCTGACTAGCAAGTATTATGTTGTGAGACCATCTCGCAAATGCACGACGAACTTCTAGAAGAATACAGGGAGGGGGGGGGGCATAACCCCCTCAGAAAATTTTGATTGGCAACCGACATTACTTGCATTCTAGGCAAACGTTGTTTTGGGGCTAGAGATTATAAACATGATAAGGACATGGTTAGGCAAACTGACAAACTTCAAAGATATTTTGATGGAGATACAAACAGTGGAAGTTGAACGGGTTTTGAACATGCTAGAAATGGCTTAACGATTAAGAGAGGGTCTTCCAGCGGGGGAGGGGGCTGGGGGTGGATTTCTGTATTCCCAAAAATTTTCACAAAATTCTTTTGTTCGCCCAGATTACATGTTCTCTTGTTCTTTACAATTATTTTGGCTATATTTCCGTGTTCTCAATATGATTTGGTCCTTCTCGACTCCCGAAAAACCTCTGGGAAACGGCCCTCACTAAAGAAACATTCTCTATTGATCGTCATAATGTAAGTGCTAGAAAGTTCTGTACCAATAGCCGAAACAAACATCTCGTGCTGGTACTGTCCATGCACGTAAAACAATAGCAAAAGAAAATATTTAACGTTGACCCTGCACAAGGACACATTAACCTAGTTTGAATCCCTTCCCCCCTCCCACTTCACGACCTTTTTGATCAATAATGTGCGTCAGTGTCAAATTAGACTAATTTGAAAGACAAACAACATTGATTCAAAAACATTTTCTGCCATGAAAGTTGGACACACGATTTTAAGCCTTACCAAATCATAATACCTCGCATGACTAGCACTCTGAAATTCATGTTGTACCCACTGTTGTCTTGATCAATCATTGTTAAGCAACTTTAAAAGTTCTGCATACTTGTTTTTACCCGTATTATATATGTAAATTTTGTAACGAAAAAGATGTAACCAAATGTGAAATAAAGTGTAGCTAAATGTTCAATGTAAATTGCGCCATAATTGATGAATGTACATGGTTGGGAAATTAATTTCTTAAATTTCTTCCTGTTTCCTCAGCGAAAATTTTGTCTGAATTCCATATGTCCGACCCACATAGTGATTTGTCAAATTCCATTCCCATCAGCAAAATTTGCTGGCGTGCGCAAATCCCATCCCTCGAATCTCATGTTTCCAGGGGGAAAAATAGGCTTCAAATCCCAGCTCGCATTTACGGCCTTAGCTTAATGGAATGCAAACATAGTTTATGGAGGCCGGTGAACTTCAAAGCGGTTCACAATTGAACTCCAAGTGATGTCGAAGAAGCCTTGAATTCACATATGGAAATCACTATGCCGACAGAGATAGGAGAAAGTCTCTTTGAATTTGAAAATAAAATTGCTGCTGGTGACTTTGATATTATATTAACTAATGTGTTGCACAACAAAGCATAAATACATTGACAACATCTTATAGTTTTGCCAAAATTGTTTTATATAGCTTTCTGGGGCCGATTGTTCAAATTCAAAAGCCGGTTTGCATAACCCTGGGTTAACGTGAAATTCAAAGTATGTTTCCCAGGAGCTTGTTTATAAACTTGCAAATATTTTTTAGAAATCTTGTCTCAATCATCAGAGGTTTAATTTTCTTAAATTTCGAAATAGACAGACGTGCAGATACTGTATATATAATTCTTTTAAACACCCGGCCTTTGCGGTGGAAAATAGCTTAAGTTTGTCGTTCATTGTGTTTAAACAAAGTTCTACCTACCTACCTTCCCGAATTTATAAGTTATAAAAGAATTAGGTATTGTAACTAATTTTAAAAATTTTGTAACCAAATACCTGTTGCGTTAGCACCAGATTTATCAGCAAAGAGTGAAGAACAAAGAAAAGCATCATTCGCCTTGAAATTTGCGTCATTTTGCTTCGTTCTCCGTAAAAAGTCTTCCTTCCTTAAAATAATGTTTTTTCCAACCAAGATGAAAGAGAGTGTTTCTCTTATGCTTTCATAAGCGAAACTAATCAAGTTCTCAGTCAAGCAGTGTTTAAGAGTCAAACAAAGCAATACGATTGCTTAGGTATTACCCCGTTGGCATATGAGTTAGTTAACTATCAATTATCGCGGTTGGATCTTGACAAATGGAGAGATTACGTAAATTGTACTTAGAGAAGAGTTGAATGAAACTTGCTATTGAAGACTTATACTCGTACTTAAAGCCTTGGCGATGATAGAGACTGATGGAGAAAACATATGAAAACATTCATCGAAATATCAAACGCGCTGAACGTTATCAGTTCTTGTGTTTCGCGCACAATAGGCTTAGAGGTAGGGTTGCGATTGGGATCAAAGATCAAAGAGGAAATTTTGTCGGTGCGCAATTAACGCACTGTACATATAGTACGTACGTCATCTGTTGTCTTCACAGCTTGATTTGATAGACCGGAGGCCGGTTGTTCAACAGTTGGTTAGCGCTAACCCTGGGTTGAAATTTAACCTGCTGTTTTTTTATTAATGTAGCTATTTCTGCACGTATGTTCAAAACTTCAGAAAAGTAAATTCCTGTCGATCCAAACAGGATTTCTGAAGAAATATTTCCAAATTTATGGACAAGCAGTCAGGAAGTTTGCTTTGAATTTTAGGTCAACTTAGGGTTAAGCTAACCCAGCTTTGACCGTGGCAACTGGTATCGTTATGCTACTAAACCTGTATCATTTGAATACAAATCATTAGAAACTTCCATACCATGACCTGTTACTATGCCACAGACAGTATTATAATTATACATACAAAAGCAATAAATAATCACGAGAATTGATGGTATTCATACAAAACCGCCCATGTCAAGAAAGCGTAGGAATTAGAATACTTGGCTGAGCTTCGACTTTGTGTGCAACTGTGCAAGGTGTTTCATATTCAAATTGCATGAATTTTTCTACTTCCTGAAAAGGCATCTTAGGGGCTGTTTACATGTTGAAAGGCGGTTGAAATAAGTCGTTATAAGCGTTGTAGAGAAGATCTTGTAGTTCAAGAAGATTATTATTGCTGCTTGAACAACTTTTCGTTTGCAGTTAAGTATGAAGATAAGAAAATAATGTAGATTTTTGCAGAATCGTGCACTGCGACTTATTTTGATACATTAAAATAATCCTATTTATTCAGCAAACTGTGCATGCCGCCTCTGATCCCATTGGGAGTGAGGCAGCACTTTCCTTGCGATAGTAACTTCTAGTTACTAATAATTTTCCTTGCGGCCCTCCCTTCCAGTCAATCTTTCCGGGTGCTATCTACTAGCAATTCTAGTATGCAACCTAACTGACTAACTCATCGGGCATTCGGTGCGGGTTAGGGCTATTTTAAGCACATACTGCCCAGTACAGTTTTCCTTGACGAACGCCGTTGAGCTTTCCATGACAAGCTTCGCAGCGGGCAAAATGACGTTTATCCAACGTTGAATCAACGTTGGAAATGACCTTCCAGACGTTGGATAGACGTTGAAAAAGGGTTGACTATGCAAATTGGATCGACGTTACTGTATCGACGTTGAAATAACGTTGAAATTAGGTTGCCAATATCGTCAACCATAATTCAACGTTGAATCCACGTTAAAACAACCTTGAGATTGGTTCACAAATCGACGTCGTACATTTAACCATGGAGAACGTTAATTCAACGTCTGTTGGCTGCTGTTGAACCAGTGTCTGTAAAACAACGTCTGAGCAACGTAGATATTAGATTGTCGACGTCGCAACCTTTTTTCTACCAAATTTCAACGTTGAAACAACGTCGTGTGCCAGGTGGGCTACCTTCTCGTGGGCACGGTCGACAGGTTTTCCTTGACAAGTTCCGCTTGACAAGTTCCGCTTGACAAGTTTTGCCGCTGTGTTCACGGAATGTTATTAAACATTTGTTTCTCGTCAATGTCGCAAAATCATAGAAGTATCTCTTGTACACTTGACACGCCTTCTTCTACACTTGTCACAAACAAATTTTCCTTGTCCATGTAGCTGGCATGACTACAGACTAGCTTTGGAACCAACGCCTTGTCAAGGAAAAATTATCAATCTTTTGCACTTTCCCACACACAAGCAAATAGTTGACATGCACAACTGAACGAAAGCGTTCGAATAGCCTCATTAACTGAACGACAAACGCGCTTAAACTCGCTTGCTTATTGGTCGAGACGAAAAATTATAAATTTTCGTCAGCTAAACGTATACGATCATCACATAACGTTCCAGAACAAACGTACGTGTGTGTCGAAACTCTTAAAACCAGGCTTGCTGGTTGGTCGAGACAGTATATTATGAATTTTCGTCTAGTGAGTAAACTAATATATTCTAATCGTCAAGACTATAATTTGAATGCCTGCCATGAAAAAAACAAGAGTGCGTAAACACAATTGAATTGAATTTTTAATTACAGTTATTAACAACAATAGGATAATTTCTATACTGTAGTATCATTTTTTATTGGGACATCCACACATAACTAATTACCGAAGACTGGCCTCATAATAATTTGTTTACACAAATCTAAGTACGTGAAGTGTCCTTTCACAATGCAATTATATTTACAGAAAGGAAAGTTAGCTCTCTTTAACTTTGGGTTATTAGATTGGGCGCATGTTTGTACCAGGAATAATAGTACAGACTGGCGTTTAAAATGCATGGTTAATTCACTCAGTAAAGCTAGGGAACGGAAACTAGGATAGTGAATCTGTCTTCTATTTCCTCTCCTCGTTTGCGAGTAAACTGTTGGGCGTACATCACGTACAATCTGTAGAAAGGATTCGACACTTTCCCCCGTTAATTAAATTCCAAAACAGAATTTGCTCTCTTTCATTGAAAAAGTCGCGACCATTGCATGAACGCCGAAACGAACACACAAGATTGGGAAACAATACTGCTTCCATACGTGCCCTTGGGATGTTTGTTTGGGGGCCGCGGGCATGCTGTTATCAGGAATAATAATTTGCAGAAACTTTCAAAGTTTTCAAGTAATAACTCGCGGTTAACAGTGCATAGTTTATTTCGTTATTTAACCTGCTATATCTTTTTAATGCCTCTACAGCACAAGTATATGCACGGAGAATAAAATGTTACACAAAATTGATAAACACTGCAGAGCGGTTGCAATCACATGTAAATCGTCTACCCTGGCTACGGTTGAAATGATTTAAAAAACACGTGTATATTTGCATAAATAGTCGAGTAAATACAATACCAATCTAAAATGTCGTGTTTTGTGATCAGTGTTTATGCCTCGTTCTTTAGAAAGATAAGTAAGACAATTTCTATAGTTCACTGTCTTTTATTGTTATGATCAACCAATCACAAAGCCATGTTCATATAGATTGGTGGCGACCCAATGTACATTATTAACATAAGGCCGATTTACACGACAAGCGTTTTGGGCACGGCACCCCTGAAAATGGGCACCTTGCCAAAACCGCCACTTCGCTATTTACTCGTTTACACGACAACATTTTGTAAACACATTTTTATGATAGGCACCGTGCCGATCGGAAAACGGCACCTCTACTTTCCGTTTACGACGGTATATTTTAAGAATAAATATGTCGGACAGAAATAGAATTATATATTTATATTTATTGGAACGAAGAATAGTATTATGTGAGCCGAAAATCGAGGGGAAAAACCAATTCAATACTAGAAAAGTACTTTAAGGGCCAGCTCATATGGGCAAAAGTTATCCCGGTTAGCGAGAATTTCAAAACTTTTCGATAAGTCTACAAACGAGATCTTGCCTTGGTATGAAAATAATATGAAAAGTTACATTGCGTTCATATGAGACAAAAAGTTTTCCCGTGATACCGAGATCTCGCCATGACAAGCCACATCTCGGTGACCGGGATAATGTTTTTCCCATATGCATGAACACAACCGGTTTACCGCTTAGCGGGATAACTTTCTGTCGTATCAGCATCTTTTCAATTCAATTGATATTCAGTGCATGCCCATCGGAAAACGGCACCTCTATTTTCCGTTTACGACGGTATATTTTAAAGAATAAATATGCCGGCCAGAAATAGAAATAGAATTATATATTTATATTTATTGGAACGAAGAAGAGTATTATATGAGTCGAAAATCAAGGGGAAAACCAATTCAATACTAGGAACGTACTTTAAGGGCCAGTTCATATGGGCAAAAGTTATCCTGGTTAGTGAAAAAACTTTTCGAAAAGTTTACAAGCGAGATCTCGCCTTGGTATAAAAATAATATGAAAAGTTAGTTTACACTGTGTTCATATAAGACAAAACGTTTTCCCGTGTACGTACCGAGATCTCGCTTGTCAAGTGATGTTTTTCCCATATGAACACAACTCTAGTTCCCGCTTGCCAGGATAGCTTTCCGTCGTGTCAGTAACTTTTCAATTCAATTGATATTCAGTGCTATGTCACAGCCGGAAACTTTACCCGGTAAGCGGAATAACGTTTCTCCATGCATGTGAACAGAACAAAAGTATATTTGGCTAGTCGAAAAGTTTTCTCGTTAACCGGGATAACCTTTGCCCATATGAACAGGCTCTTAAAGACGAAAGCAGTTGTTTTCTCGCATAAATGTTGTGCCATCTTGTATTCACCCGCCACGAATTCGAGAGGTATGGCCGCATCGAACGACAGCTATTTGCTACGACCTACTTACTGCTCTATTCAGCGACGAACAGTGGTATCAAAATTTCCGAGTCAACTAGAACAACATTCACATTCTGCCGGTGTTAAATTAGTTTTTTAACTTTGTTTTTTTTTTAATTTTTGGCAAGTTGTAATTTTTCGCCGCTTGCTGCCATGTTGGAAAGAGGACAATTTGTTTTGCGCATGCTCGATGCCGAAAACATTTTTTATTTTTTTCGAAATTTGGGCACGGCACCGCTTGCTAGACGTGCCGAGACTACCTCGTGAGAAAGTCTCGGCACGTTTAAATTTTGCGGCACCGGTGCCGATTTTGTCACGTTTACCGCACACCAAAAGGCAGAGGTGCCGTGCCTAAAATTTTGGGCACGGGTGCCCATTTTTAGGGGTGCCGTGCCAAAAACACTGGTCGTGTAAACCGGCCTATAACTGAATA